TTCACACCATGATATAGTCATCTGATTACAGTTGCAGACAGTCTGGAGTTTGCAGAGAGTTTATTCAGCACTCAGATCCCATAATTCCACTTGGTTGGCCAATTCTTAGGCCTGGGAGCCCAGCAGCCTGCTGGCTACACTTGTATGTGTACACATGCAATGATACACCAGAAACTGTGCTCCAGGAATAGTGGCTACTTTTGCTCCTATTTTGTATGTTCATATATAGGTTTAGCCTGAGTTGGTGGGAAAGAGCCAGAACAAGGATACTATCAATTCAAGGCCATTTACTTGATTATAAAAGAAGCAATTCAGAACTAAAATGTTTATATGCACTGAAGCTGTTGTCACAAAATCTGGCTGAACCTTTCACATAATTACATGGGGGACAATTTACTTCAAACTTTATCCATTATATAACCTCTAAATTACTTCCCAATGAGCTGAACAGTAAATTTGGACAGCATGAAAAATCTAAGATTAACACTACTCTGTCAATCTCCTACCCAGCTAGTTAGGTTAAAATGACTGTTATGGTATTCACATAAGGACAGACTGATGTTGCTCAGGTCTCTCCTGTCAGCCATTAGCACTAATCTTGACTGTAAAGAACAGAAAGCACAGACCAGCCACGTGCTTGTGCATTAAGAGGAAAGCTCCTTATAGTTTACTGCCTTTTTTTAACATTCAGTTGGAATTGGGATTGATTTCACTACTCCATTCTTACTGCAGTTCATTGAACAGGATGAAAACAAGAATAAAACAAAAATCAAGCAGATTAGTTGGCACCTGAACCAGCCCATCAACATTACACCCCAACTAAATCCATTAGCTGGATATATGAAAACAATAGAGGATTGTCAGGTCTGACTCAAAAAAAAGACTACTTCACAGCAGCATCAAGCCTCTTAGATTGAAGCACACCGATAGCGACAGTCAAGGCCATTGCCAGTCTCAGCTTATATGCCTTTATCTTCTTCCAGTTCAAAATAGAAGCTATCTGCAGTATGAGTCAAATGGTGTGAATAAATGTATATAACAGGTGATAAATGGACTGATCTGCTATGTGAGCATTCTGATCTTTCTCCTTTTCCAGTGAGCTGCTCCGTCCATGTAAGAAACTTGAATCATTTCACTCAGAGTGCAAGCCATCAGGGCCATCTGCCTAAGGATGAGGAAAAGGTTCACCTCCATCTATGCACAGCTGATCAATATGCCATAAGGTTCAGTGCCCACTTTCAAGCCAGAAATCATGCTACTGAGAATTAAAAGACCATCTTTCGTGAGTGGTTGAGGTGGGAGGAAGGCCTCTGCGAATACATAAGAGGCCACAGTTAGATGACTGCAATGTTTTCAAAGGTTTCTGGACTGAAGGAATTTACAGAGGTAGGATGCTATGGAGGGTTTTGAACGCAAGTTTTAAGTTTGAGATATTAACTATCTGGGACAGGTGAATTGCCGGAACTGGGGTAGGAATGAGCGATGTTACAATGCTGCAATCAGGTAGGTTTTCTGATGGCAAGGTTATGGAGCCTAAATGTCATCCCAAAGTCAAATGTTTCATCTCGTCTTTCATACAAAAGTCTAATTTTTGATTACTTCTATAAGAATAGCCCCTCAATTTCATATATTTGCTACCATACTTGTAAATCTTCCAATGCCTTCATATCAGTGTTATGTTATGGTGACCAAAAATTGTGTACAGTATTACCAATGTGATCTAACCAAGGTTCAATAAAAGTTTAGTATAATTTCTCTACTTCTCAACTCCATTTTGATAGAAATAAATTCTAATCCGATTTTTAAATAGCCTTTTAACTTTACCCCTTTTCAGCTCTATTTTCCATAAGAATTTGCAACCTCCTTTTCTTCTTCCCAAAATATAACTAATATTTAAGTGTTGAAATTCACTTCTCAAATATATGCCAGTTATACAAATTTAATTTAAAGTAATAATTAATCCCACTGATTCTTCCTTCTTCCTCGGACATGTGGCCCCAGGCAGGTGCAGCAGATCAACTGGAAATATTGGTACTATATTCAATTGTATAAGTTACTGTAAATCTAGAGTTAGTCTTTTGGTATTTCCTATTAATTTCCTATTATGTAACAAATGAGAAAAAGTAGCACAGCAATTTCTGCCAAACTTCATGTGTTCAGCAAGATTTCCACAAGTGAGACTGTTATTCCTGATAACAAACACAGTGTTCTTTTTTCCCTACTGATACAACAAAACTTTTACTCAGTTTTAACTGAATCATGTAGAATCATAAAATGGTCAGCTGTGAATACGCTACCAGTCCAAAGATCCACGGCTGGTGCTTGCTGCTGTCTGAAATAGCCTAGCAAGGTGTGCCATTGTCAAGGAAACTAGCAATGTGAAATAAATGTAACCTTAACAGCATTGCCCAGATCTAAGAAGAAACAAAATAAAATATTTTGCCTCCATGGTTTTCTTTTTTCTGTAAACGAGAGAGACCAGTTGTGACTCTGCTATTCGACCTGTATTGGAAGAATGCCAGAACATTATGAACTGTACAATTCCTGCAGTGTAACAAGCGATTGAAATTGGGAAAAATACAGGATCCTCCAAAAATGATTTTTTTAAAAAGTGAGCAGAGGAATGTAATTGTATATATTGCAAAAATCAAATGAGTATGTGTTACTATTCACTCAATAGTGCATATTACTGAGGCAACACGCACTTTTACATTCATGTTGTAGTGTCAGACCAATGGATAATGACAGTAGGGACTCCAGTCTCTTCCATGATGTGGCTGACCAGGAATCTCTCTGACTCCTATCATCTGTTATTGGTATGTACCAGACAGATTTGCAAGTTGAGACTCATCCTGTTTAGTCAATGGTGTAAACTTGACCATCAAAGCCCTGAGATGGGATTTGAGGGTGGTACTTTTGGTTTGGAGGCTGGGATACTCCCAACTGTGCCAGAAGATCTCCTCAGAAACCAGACATTGCAATGTAACAAGAATAGGTTTTTGTAAAGGGTAGTTGTACCTTAGGAATGTAATGTGTTGAAGAAGTTAAAATAGTTAACATCTGTAATTGTAAGACTGAATTTTTATCTGCCTGGATTGTTTGACTGATTAGTTTAAAGAGTAGGTCTATGGGTCGGATTATTTAGTTGGTGATGCCTGGTGCATACAGAGTCACACATACAGCTGCTAATAGTTGGAGACTATTTGGAGGGTGGAGGGTGACACTGGAGACCAAAAACGGCAGAATGGGGCCACTCAAACAAAGTTACCCTGACTGGAGAGGTTGTTTCTGTAAGAGATGGGATAGAATTGATGCGAGGGATGGAGAGAGCAAGACTGTGATGGAGATAGCATGGGAGAGAGGGAAGAGAATGCAGGGATAGAATGGCATGGAATGAGGATGACATGGGAGGGGTGGCATGGAAAGTGAGGACAAAATGATGGAATTGATTCCATGTGTCAAAATGGTAGGGACAATAATTTGATGTAACTAATTTTTTGAAACTCTCCCTTGTGGTAAAATGAAGAGTCACAAGATTGAAATGTAAATATATTGATTAAGCTGTCAGGAAAATTAAAAGAACACAATGAGAAGTGTTATTTCTAGACACCAAAGAGATGATGCCAATTAATATTCTGAAGCACTTCTATACATTATATGGATACCGCACAAACCCAGAGGAAGGAGCAGTTATGGCATTGTTACAAAATATGGATAATAACATGGGAAAAGATGGACAGCTAGGAAGCTGTTTTTCTGATAATTGTTACTGAAATGATAACATGCAGATTTCAAGGAAATCAGGGTCTGCATTTTCATTGTTGAGCCAGGAGTTACTGCACCGTGGAAAGGCTGGAGTCAGGGTGGCCATCTCTCCTGCCAGAAGACAATACAATCAGTGGTGGAAACAGTGTCAGGTTCCGAGATGGATCCATCAAAGTCAGAGTATTGCTTATAATGGCTGCTCTTCCAGTTCATATGTACTGACTTTAAACCATCTGATTACTTTTCTGGTATTAATTACCAGACAAGCAGAAATTTTCTCCACTTCCATATTGGAAAATGTCCACTGCCTTTGATCACCACCACAGATTCCATTCACTAGTGACTGGCTCCATCCCTTTCCCTGGCAATCGTCTGACATGGAACAAGCCCATTCAGAAACTAAGTACCATATTTTATCCTGAAATGAGTTTCCTATCATATCTATATCATTACAAAGACTACACAGTTCCATCTTCACTACATTCATTAGCTCAGCCCATGGTACTCGTGATAACTTCCTTGCTGCTGAAGTCCTCATCCATGCTGTTGTCATCTCTAACCTGCACCATTCTCCTGTAACCTTGGCAGATTTCTCATATACTGCAACAACACATCCCTTTTTTCCTTTATGATGCTCCTCAAAAACTACATAAGTTAAACACACTTTTGATAACCTTGCCTAAAACTGGCTAACAAAGCTTGGTGTCAAATTTTGCATTGTAAGGATCAATTGGTACTAATCCTAGTGCCCTTAATGTGAACACTAGCTGAATGACAACCACTGGACATGATACTGGATGAGTGAATGGACTTAGGTACCATAGAACTTCCAGATTCTTTTTAGAACGCTGTTGGAGAAGGGAACAAGGCAACAGGAGACCAAACAGTGATGTAATTTTCAAGGGAACCAGTAACTGGAGAACTTCATATATTGAAAAAAAACAAAATACACCAAATGGGAGAACTCAACTAAGAAAGGGCTGGAATAATTCAGACGGTAAGCCACCCTCTGTGGGTGAGACAAAGTTAACATTTAAGGTCGACTACTTTTCATGGTTGAATTTTTGTAGCTTTTGCTTTTGGTCTTAGCCTGGAGAACTTCAGTTTGATTTACTTATTTCCGAAACTGTCGACCAAACATTCATTCAACTTTTCGGGGGATTCGCGAGTCTACATCAACTGGAGACTGAGTCAGAGTGCGGACACCCACTGAGCTACAAGCCCCTGGAGGGGGAGGTGGTGAGCGTGGGGCGGGAGGGGACAGAACTATTCACTTACTGCCGAGAAATCAGATACTTCCCAGACAAAGCTGCAGCTCATAAGGAAAGCGAAGGCTTGCCGCTTAAAGCACACGTATAAATCCCAAATGAAGTCAGATTTCGTCTTGTTGTGAGATGTACGATTCGAGGAACCGCATGATCAACAGTTACTGATTTTACCAGCGGCGTGAACCCCGAATTAACACGTGACCGATTAAGGTGGGAAATTTCTACCACGTATATATAGAGAAAGCCAGAGGTTCAGTTCGTGAACATTGGAGATACAACTGGTGACTTGCTGATAAACATTAACTGGAGAGCTGGTAAGATAGGTTAATCTGCCGCATATGTCCTCAATGTGTATACTTTAGTGTGTCTTTTTTACACATTCAAATCAGAATTAGTTGCTGACAAAGGAACAGTACTTAAAAGGAGCAAGCTGGTGATAGAAACGTGTGATTATGGAGGAAAACGTAGTCATTTTATGATTTCAATGAAATGAGTTTAGTGTGCGATTCTGATTTTTTTAAAATACAGATAGGAGCTGATAGGAATTAATACAAATAGGAATTGTTGAGCGTTTTACTGCCATCTGTGGCAGTGTTGACGATAGTTCCTTTGTTCTACCACCGCTGATGGGAATGGATACTAAGCGTGGGAATGCAGCCGAGTACCACCATTCCCAAGTTTAAATGACTGTACTTGTGCACATGAAATAGTAATGGATCATAGCAAGGTTAATCGCCACACAGTATAAGGCAGTAATTGACAATATTGTATGTACACTACTGTAGGTACAATTAAGTGTTCATATAATGTAATTCAACATTTACTTGGCCCTTGATAGAAAAAATATAGTTCAAATTGACTGAGGTGTTTAGATCTGAGATTGAATGTTCTTGCTGTATTAAATTACTAATTTAGTATTTCTCAATGTGAGTCATGTACTTTAGTCATTACAAAGTATTAAAATAACAGTGACAGTTGAACTTCTAATAAAGGGTCCAATTACTTTATTTTGTTAAATTTCAAATTTCTATGGGACACCACGTTGCCCAGTACTAAACTGACCTGTGTGCATTGCACTCAACATTGCACACCACTTGCTCCCGCACCCATTCACCGTCACGTAATGTTTTCCCAACGATAAGAAATGATGCTTCGGATGTGGTCATATTCTAGACGTCAGTCTTGGAGCGACGCGTGACGCTTGGGGGAGAATGTTATTGGTTGGACACTACTAGCCAAAGTAGATGGAGGTATTTCCCCATTCTCGTACTTCCAGCTTCCTCTGTAAAAAAAAAGCTTGGACTGGGACAGGACCTACTGATGAGATAAATGTCAGGGAACACTTGGTAACAAGAAGGACCAGGACTGAAGTTTGCAGTGTTATTAGCATGAAAAAGTCTATTCCTCCTCCTGTGATGAGATGCAAATGGGTGGGTTGAGTACCTATTGTTCACATTCTAGCCACATTTGCAATAAACCACTCCAAACTGACAGAATTAAGCTGGAGAGATAGTAGGAACTGCAGATGCTGGAGAATCTGAGATAACAAGGTGTGGAGCTGGATGAACAAAGCAGGCCAAGCAGCATCAGAGGAGCAGGAAGGCTGACGTTTCAGGCCTAGACCCTCCTTCAGAAAATTCTGAAGGGTCTAGGCCTGAAATGTCAGAATTAAGCTGGACCTGTGTTTCTTGGACACTGGGTGCAACGATCAGGATTATCAATTATGGACTTGTAGGGCAACAGCAGAGTCCAAGTTTGTTTAGGACAACAAATATTGTGCATTTTGGGTGTTTTTCCAGAATTTTTATGGTGGTTCATGAATACTGCAGTTGTATTTTAGCAGCTGTATCATTGATACTCAGACTCAATGGATTGTATATGGTTGGTTTTATATACTAATGTCGTAATAGTATCTGGCGGTAGAAAATGTTACTGTGAAATTACCTTGTTACGTTAACTCTGTGACTGATCTTCTGCACACTATTACAACTATGAATTAATGACAATTTGCTACTTCTGGTTACAGAGCCAGTTTTCTTTTGCCTATGTTATAACATACATTGAAATAAAGCCCAAGAATCAAACGTAACTATTTCAATTAAAATTGTTTGTCATCCAGTGCAAATGCAATATGCAAAGACAATAGTATAATTAGACTTTCCTCCTTGTCTCATGGTTTAGCATAAAAATGGATATATTACACATTTTAATCCAAGTAGCTACTCCTATTTCTGGTCGTGTTTCATTGAAACAATGACAGTTCTGGATTTTACTTCAGTGAATTCCAGTACAATCTGGAGTATTGAAAGATCTAAAAGTTTTTAGTTTGTTTAATTTCACATTTCCGTGTAACAAAGTCTGCTTGCACCGACTACTGGTTCTCACCTTCTTTAGACTTATTTCTTTTTCATTTCTAATTTTACATAGAGAGGAAACATTACTACTTTGGATTCCAATTAAAATGCCAGTCTGACCTAGTTTTAATCTGGCTAATTGCCACATCAACCATACTTGCATGCCTTTCCTGGCTTCCATGGAAAATTTGTATGGCAATACAATTCATTCCCACTCCCAAAGCATATGGCATTGGCTCAAAACTTAAAAAAAGTTGAGTAAACACTTTTTTTTAAATACACTCTGACAAGATACAACTCTGACTCACCCTTTCTCCCTGCTGACGAGTTGGTCGTAAACAGCTGCTTTGGAAATTTAAAAGCATATGCTGTAGCAGCTGAAAATTATGAATAATTTTTGCTGTAAATGGTACTGGACAAAAATCCTTGCCCTTCAGTATTTAGAAGAAAGGCCCACTCAATGCACTATGAAAATGCAAGTGAGCTGAAAACCGTGTCCCTTTAATAAATGGTTCTGACTTTCTGCATAGATCATAGAATCCCTACATTGTGGAAACAGGCCCTTCGGCCCAACAAGTCCACACCGACCCTCAGAGCAGCCACCCAGACCCATTTCCCTATAACTCACCTAATCTACACATCCCTGAACTCTACAGGCAATTTAGCATGGCCAATCCACCTAACCTGCACATCTTTGGACTGTGGGAGGAAACCGGAGCACCCGGAGGAAACCCATGCAGACACGGGGAGAATGTACAAGCTCCATACAGACAGTCACTCGAGGGTGGAATTGAACCCAGGTCCCTGGCGCTGGGAGGCAGCAGTACCGCCCCGTGCCACTCCCGCATGCAATCCTAAATTTATTATTTAGTGTGCACTTTGACTGCAACTTCACAGTCCATTAACAATAATGAAAACATTCATGGTCATAATGAAGTCAGACAATTTAATGGAAAATAGGTTTACCACACTGATTAGATCAAAAAAAGAGAGGGGATTTACCTGCAGATACTGTAATATAGCAGATATTAATCTCAGTAGTACAGCTGGTGACTTTGTACAGTGATATTTTAAATTGTTGCAGAAAATGATAGTTTTCCTCTAAAACAAAAGTTTAAAATACACAATACTTTGTGTATGATGAATTTATCTATTCCAGTTAAATTAAGGGAGTTAAAAAAGCACACTCCTTTCTATTTGCAATAGGCTGCTCATTGACCAACCTGAAGTATGTTGTAATAAAAGGAGAAGACATTAGGGTGATCAACATTGTATACGGTATAAAGACAGCACAGTCTGGGCCAAGATAATTTGGGGAATATTCTTCGTATTGTTTGGGCTGCTGGGATATCAATATTCCAAATTAAGTGCAGTTATATACCTGAGAGACTGAATTAACATCATTTGCAAACCTTTTGCTTTGTACAAATGGTGTCTCTGAATTTGCTCACCACACTAATGGTATTTCTGAAGTTCCAGTATGACTGTGTATAATGTAGTTTGGCTATCACTGATTTTTTGTTGTATTTACTCCTTTTAAAGGCAAGATTGAATGGGGTGGATTATAATGCTAGAATCACATTCAAGAATGCAACACTTATGTATTTTGATTTCAAGCAGCTGCTGAACTTTCTATTTTCATGATAATGGTTACAATAGTTTGCCTTGAACTTTAGATATAAAGCCAGTTTCATAGGACAAACATAGGCCAATGACATAAAAATGTAGAATGGTGCCCCTGAACACATAGGTACTGTACACAGCAAGGAGATAGGAAGGTGATCAAAGCACAGAGTGATAGTTAAGCATTTTCGTTAATTCTATCTCCTCCATTCCACAACATAATCTTTCCTTGCCTCCATTGTAATCATGAGAACTGTCCAATTAACTGTTGCTCTCTCATTAATATCCATAGCATCAACCAACCCATCAAGAATGTGGGATGGGGTGCTTAATTAGAATTTGATGCTGTTCAGCAAACAGATAAATCAAAAAGTTCATGACTAATCTATAAAATAGAACCTAACTAAGAAAAGTTTCTGATTTCTGAAGAAGGGTCCAGACCTGAAACGTCAGCTTTCCTGCTCCTCTGATGCTGCTTGGCCTGCTGTGTTCATCCAGCTCTACACCTTGTTATTTCTAACTAAGAAAAGCATGTTTTTGTTTCAGATCACTTCAGAAAGATGAAAACTGTATTGTTACTGATTGTACTAGGAGCTCATTTACCCTTGGTGACAGGTAAGATTTTGGACACTTAACCCAATAAAGACTTTGCTAGTGCAGCAATTTTTTTAAAAAAGTGCAAAACACAAATGTATGTTGGAACCTTTTAGTTCTTGGTATATCCAAGTAATAAGTTAATGAACCATCAGGACTTGTGGCGTGTCCTGCTGTTAAAGCACCAATAGACAATTGATTCAGATTTTTCAGCCGCTTGCTGGTTAATCATAGAAACATAGAAGTAGATAATATAGTAGTAGGACTAGGCCATTTGACCCTTCAAGCCTGCTCCAGCATTTAACATGACAATGGTTGATCATCAAGCTCAATATCTTAGTTCCACCTTCCTCCCATATCCCTCGATCCCTTAAGCATCAAGAGCAATATCTAGCTCCTTCTTGAGAGCACATAATATTTTGGCCTCAACAAGTTGTGTAGCTGTGAATTCCACAGGCTCACCACTGTCTGGGAGAAGTTTCTCCTCTTCTCAGCCCTAAAGGGTTTATCCCTTATCTTTAAACTGTGATCCCTGTTCTGGACTGCCCCACCCTCCGGAACATTCTTCCTGCATTATAACCTGTCTAGTCCTGTTAGAATTTTATAGGTTTCTATGAGTTTCCCCCCTCATGCATTTAAACTCTGGTGATTAAAATCCTAACCAACTCAACCTGTCCTCATACATCAATCCTCTTGTGTCTCAAAGCCAATAAACATGAGATGTCTCCATTCTGAGAGGATATTATGCTGTGACAAGAATACTTCTCAATGTTCAAAAACATTGTTTTTTGAACAATGCATTTACCTCACTACTTGTGGTTTTGCCAATTCAAATGTCTACTACCTGAGCCATACAGACTAAAAAATAATCTGGTATTGCTCTCCAGTGAGTCCATAATTAATTGATTATTGACCAGTGACTGGGTAGCCATCAGCACTCCCTGTGTCAGTGATGGGTGAAACATTCAATGCTCCTGCTCCCAATGGCTAATCTGGTGACCTCTTACTGGAAGAGCATGTCTGCAGGTTAGGTGAGAATTGAACTGTAATTCCTACATGCCCAGATCACAGCAATATTACTGACACTCAACCATCTATGCTGAGGAAAAACTTTTTATAAAAAAGGAAGGCTGGTGAAAATATTGTGTGCTTGTTTGACACCCTTCTCCATGCTAAGTTGCCATATTGGAGTGGAAAGGTAGCAGAAGCTCAAATTAGGGGGAAAGAAATGTTATGTGCTTATCTGGTTGGTTCTGTTTAAAAGGAATGCTAATAAAACAAAGAAGCCTCAATGTACCTTTAAATACCAAGCTATAAACACAAGCAGAATTAGTTTGATTACATTTACTGATATATGATCAGCCAGGGCTTGTATAGGATCTAAATGATCCTAATAGGTTTCAAATATGTGTAACTTAATCAATATCCCTCACTTCTGTTTTTACATCTCAGACATTCGTTATTCTCCAGGGCAGATGTGAGTCATTAGCTTAAGTTAGCCTATGGAAATTCACCCCATTAGTTTTCTTCTAATTGTCTACCACAGAAACCTTGGAAAATATTGTGTATATAATGTTAATGCTTGTCTGCCGATTATTATGGCAGCAGTCAAGAAAATTATCTCAAATTTCGGTCCAAGTATCTATCTAGAACCATTGAGTAATTCCTCATTCTGTCATTTCAGCTATTTTTATGGTCACAGCCCCCAGATCATCCTACATTGCATCCTATGGGAATAACATTACAATGGAATGTCAGTTTCCAGTTGAATCCAACTTTAATGCAAACCAAATAAAGGTGTACTGGCATTACGTGCTGGGTGATGGAACTTCCCGATTAGTTTATCAATTGATTAACGGAGAACCAGCCCTTCAGGCCCAACCTCGGGAATACCAAGAACGAGCTTTTCTGCTGTTGGATGAACTCCAAAGAGGTCGTGCGGTGCTGGAGATTAACCAAGTCAGAGTTTCTGACGCAGGGACCTACCGCTGTCTTATTGATCTCAATGGAGTGGATTATAAAGAGACTGAACTGGAAGTCACAGGTGGGCAAGCTTTTAAAATTAAGATTTAAATTGTTCTTAAAGAGGTATGCCAACAATGTAGGGCTCTTGTGATGCAGTTTCCATACCTCTGGATTCGGAGATCCAGATTCAAGTCCTGCCTGTTCCAGAGGTGTGTTGAACCACTTGATTAAAAGTATTTACCAAAGTGTGAGGCTGTATCTCTAAGTCACTATGCAAGGAGCCATTGATCTCAAGTGTGCTGTCACATGGAGCCACAGGACACAGGCAGAGCCTTACACATGTTGACGCCTATCGGTTGTGACATTTAGCCGCAAAGTGGTAACTCAGGAATAAGTTCCCAGACTGATCTCTCAAAGCATTAGTAGTTGAAAGCTGAAAGTGGAAAAGTAAGAAATAGCAGTAAAGAAACAATGTTTGTACTGATTTAAATTGAAATACTTTAGACTGTACACAGTGAAAATATTCTTGCAAAATAATGAACAGTAACTTCAGAACGTTTAAAATCTCAGCCAGTTTAAATGACACTGTGTCTTTTCTATTTTACAGCTTCTTACAAAAACATAGAGACCATCAAAACAAAAGAACCAAAAGAGACCAAGTTTGTCTGTCAATCTGTAGGATATCCTTTAGCTGAGGTTATCTGGTATTATGCGAATGGATCTGACATTAATGAAACAGCAAATACCACCCACTTTACTGGCTCTGATGGATTGTACAATGTCAGAAGTGTACTAAGAATAAAGACAGAGACTAATGATGCTTATTTGTGTATGTTCTGGAATAAGGAGCTTAACATGAATACTTCAGCTATTTTACACATTAAAGGTAGGTCATTTTTATTCCTTATTTGACCAATGGTATTTCAAGCAGTATGTAAGGAATTTATAAAGCTAGCAATTTCAATTTATGATGATTTGCATTAAAATATCAAATTGTACAACTACATTTGAATCTAAGAAGCTTTCTTAGTAGCTTATCTTTGCACACTAATCTTATAAATGCAAGGTAATAATTGTTCAGACACATAAAAACAATGAAAATCTGCAAAGTAAATCTGATTGTATAAAGGGTAGCTTATTTATTCCCTTGACATCATGTGAGCCCTTTGTCACCTCTTGTCAGACCTGACTGCCTGCCACTGAAAAATCACCAATGCTATATGATGTGAGAGGTTAAGTAATTAGGCTTGATGATTCCAGCACTGCTGCTTTTGCTCAGTGCTCTGTATGAATATTTGCCTCATTACATCTACATAAAGAGACAAGACTTGCAGCAATAATGGAGAAACCGCTACCAGGGTGGAAATAGTTCTGACCATTGCATTTTCATAAGGATTATTAGCAACTCTATTCAAGCAGCAGTATGGTGAATAGTTCACTGATAATATACAATGTAATCTGTTGTATGAGAGCAGAATGCTAGCTAGGAGTCAGAAACCCATAGCCAATAAATTTGATTTCAACAGGCTTGTCAAAATGACTGTCAGCATATACAGAGAACAAAGTGAGGCAACAAATGGAAGAAATAGTTACATATGTACAAGTCATCCTATTTCACATTGATAATTTAAAAACACCAACAACTTATTATATAATAAAGGTAAAATTGCTGTGGTCCTACTGGACTATAGGGTTGCTCTGTCATTGGAGAGAGGGCTGACTGGTGGTGGCTTAACCTGAGGGTCACCATACCTCAGGTGAAGGAGAAGTTGAGAAGGAGAATCCTTCATGGTGACTTCAGTAGGTGCAGGAATTGAAGCCACACACTCTGCATCACAGACCAGCTGTCAAACCAACTTCAATGCAATAAGGTCTCCCGAGATACTTGTCAACAACATGAACAAAAACAAACTGATAAAATTTAGATAAGTTACATAACTAGAGGTACTTGTATGTGTATCAGCTGGTAGTATTTTTACGAGCTACTTTTTTTAAACTGGGTTATAATGTTGGTTTATAAACTAGGCTGCTGTGTACAAGTTTTAATTACCACTGCTTTTAACTTTTTTAGAAGTGGAAGAGACAGATGACATTTTTATTTTCCCCTCAACGAAGAGGAGTTATCTCATTGCAACAATTGTTGTTCCTGTGACAATTCTACTTGGATTCATTATGATTGTATCCTGCATCCTAAAGTCAAGACAAAGTGAGCAAGGTAAGTCACTGCCACCATGTACAAAGTCACTAGAAAACATGCAAGGGAGCATTGAAGAACTTTAGAATTATGAACACTGAAAAATGATCTACCCATATTTCTGAATTTTCATTAATGTGTTGATAATATCATTTCAAATCAGTTGAGACATATTTCTTCCCTTATTTAAATGTATCCAGGCAGGGTCTGTAGCAAATAGTCAATGAGTGAACACATTTTTCACTATGAAAATTGGCTTTTACTTTGCCCTCCCCTCTTCATTCCCTCCATTTGGAAGAGATCCATCTCCTCCTCATTTTACAAATGGCATTTTGTTGTTTCTGCACTTGCAGTTGTCATCGATCCCATGATTACATCTGCAGAGACGGAATGTGAACCCCCTTAAAATAGGCCAAAAAAAAAAGGTTTTAGAATGGCAACTTATTGAAGCCAAAGGTAAGGTGGACTATTATTCTACACTGGGAGTGAGTAACCTGGTAGGAAACTATATAGACAAGTGACTTTGCCATCTATCAATTGTCTTTCTTGATAATTGAGCACTGAGGGATTTGCAATGTGAACTAATCTAACTGAATTATTATTCTTGATGTTCCAGTTCATTTCTAATCTAGTAAATGACTGCAAACATTTTTTTAACAGTGATAGAAGGATAGGCAATCTACATATATCATAATGCAAGAGATAAGGTGAACTACTGAGAAAATTAGACAGCTAAAGTAGTTTTAAATAACATATCTTGATTATTTGAAGCCTCTAGGATGTGTAGATTAGGAATAGACTACAATATCAATTTAACGTATTCAAGTAAAATCTTCCAATAGTTTATACATGACCTTGTCTGACTGACAGATTAGTTTGTACAACAGTCAAATGTATGTCAAATAACTACTAATGTTTGCGTGTTTTCTCCTTTATGATTAGGTAACAAAAAAGCCTCTGAAACCAGCTTATTATTATGAAGCTTTCACTGTCAAAATTGGGAATGCTTTCAAACCCTAAAGCGTGTGATTTTTGCTTTTGGAAACTGAGAATTGTGTATATTTCTACAAGACCAGCTGACTGTTGAATACCACACAAAGTCTCATCTTTTTGTTGGCGATGCAGAGAAAATGCAACTTTAAAAATTATCCATCAACTGCTTAACTTGCCAGGATTCTACTCACTAAGCACATTGACTGAACTGCTCTTCAGGTGCATTGTGTGAAACTACTGTTTTTGAATTTGAGTCTGGCAGTATGGTGACAGAATTGGTTGCATAATTCTCTGAAATTGGTATCTTACCTGTGGAATTGGATCTAGATACAATGCTCTTTGGAGTGGTTTCCAGTAGCTTCACAAAATAGGCCTTGTGTATGGGCTGATTTTTCTCCTAATAAACTACCATTGTGCCTGGAAATATGAGCAGAAGTAAAAGTTCTGCAACATTATTTAAATTCAACTCAACTTTACTTACAAGACAAAAATCCCATTAGAATCATGTCACCAACAGCCAAAGATTCTTGAAACCAGACAGCTGGGAAAGTTTATTTTGTAGGGATTTATGGAAGGGGAATTTATTGCTAATTGTTGGTTGAAGCCACATCCAGTTGCAGCATGTGGATTTATTTTATCAGTGTGACCCTGTTCAGAATCGGAGGAGTATCTCTGCCACAAACCAGTGGTGTTTTAAGCTGCTGCATTGGACTGTGTTGGGGATTTTTGTAAGCAGTTTGCTCGTACACAATAGGAAGAAGAAGAGGAGCAGAAAAATTCCATTCTGAATGCTTGGATCTGGTACAACATCTTCAAAATCTCTGAAGTTGTCAATCAAATTCGAATGTGCTTCATGTATCTACCTCCAGATTTTTATTACTCTTTCTCCCTTCCAAAGTTCTGTGACCATTCCCAGCCTGGGACTTTGAGACCAGTAACCTTTCAATCTTAGTTAGGGCCCCAGTGAAGTTATGGGTGTTGTACCTATTTCAGAAGTTTCTCCCTTCCCTCCAGTGAATATCAAAAATATTTATCTGCTCGATTGCTAAACCTGACAATCATTGAAAATCACTCTCTCAAGCAGGGAGAGGCTTCAGAAGAAGACCCAGAGCCAAAGTTTGAAAGAGAACAAAAACGCCTGACATGAGGCCACTATTTGAGTTTTCAATAAATAAAGCTTCAGAATTGTGAACTTGAAGTCTGACTGTTCTGGCAGAAGTAGAGTGAAACTTAATGTTTAAAGAGTAGCAAAAGCAACCTAGTTTCATGTATTGGAATACCATGTAAACTTTTTGAAAATGTTTGTTTTTTAAAGACGTGTAGAATGAAGTAAACTAATGTGTGGTCACATGTAGGCATATTATTTTGCCAGACTGCAATTTTGTTTTTTTTACTGTTTTTATCAAGTTTAGTAATTTCAGTTATGTCAAAACGGAGTTGTTTATTTTAAATTCCCTGTGCTAGTTGCAAGAAGGTAGATTGAACTCTTTGCCAGTGTTCATATATGATTGATAATTTCCTGCCTAGAAAAAGTTAAGCAAGTTTTTTTTTTTAAAAATTTGGCTAACCTGCCTCAATTCTACCTTGTGTATTCTATGAATAAGCTCAATTTGATGTAAGTTATTAACAACTGTGAATTTTTGCCTTTGTTTAAATAGATTTTATTTATACAATTTTTTTGTATGGTTATGTAAATATATTTAGAAAAACAACAAATTGTTTTGAAAACGTATACAAAAATATACATTTAAAATAAATGTAAAATCAATTACCTCAAGAATTACACTGTCAGTGTTCATTTTGAAGCGTTTTGTAAATACCTTGGAGACTATATGTTAGTCATACCCAGAAAAGATTTGTTTTTTTTTGAATGGTAAGGCCTGAATACTCAACTGGGAAGACATTTACCTTTGTATCAGCGACTCTACAGATGTTTGACACCTAGCTCAGTGTTAATTTGCCCTCTTTGGAACTGCTGCCCCTTTTCTGGGGAGGATGTCCTGCTGGTTGTTCTGATTGGCTAGCAGTTTGTTGAGATGACCAGCACAAGGTTTTAGTGGCGGCTACTGCTAGGACTGCAGGCAGCCTATGAAGAGGTGGTTATGGAGGCGAGACATTGTTAGTACAGGATTTGGCAGGGTTTGACTGGCAGGTCCCAAGACAGGAGCTTGAGGGGATGGGGTGTGCTAGATTTGAGAGTCTGGTGAGAAATGTTAAAAGGGGACATGAACTTTTTATAGAGGGTGAGGTCAGGAGTGCTACAAAATAAAACAAAGCCCCAGAAGGAAATTCTTCCCTTGCCTGATCCTGGCTTTCCCAGTGAAAGTTGATGGGACTCCATCTGGTTGCTGTGGATGCAAAACAGTGGTGGAGGTGGATTGAAGCACTCCAGTTGCCAATACTTAAGGACTTCAATGGGCTCGAGACTGGGCAGGACACCTGGAACCTCCTCTGGCTCCTGCAAAATGAGAGAGGTCTGAGTAGGTGAACTACCCACATACCCCCATCCTAGAAACCTTCCTGTGGTGGGCTTTAAAGTACAGTCCATGCAATAGGCAACTATTCTATGCCTGTTCACTGGAATGAAGACAGAAAACCAACTTCATGCTTTTGTGCTAGGGATTGTTGTAGCAGTGATAGTTTCTCAGCCTCTAAACCAGGAAGGCCCACTTTTCAGTCTCAACTGCTCCAGAAATATTTCACAATTCATCTGAGCAGGTTGATCTAAGAAAGATCCAGCTGTGTCAATATTAGAAAGCACTTGGGTGGTGCATTGTTAATGCCCCTACCTATGAGACAGGAAGCCTAAATTCAACCTTGCCTGATCCCATGGTGTGTAATAACATTGCTGAACACATTAGAAAATATCTACCAACTCTCCAGGTTGTGGGACATGGAGTCCTGTCATGCCTCATGAGTCTAAATCCCTTTGTACTCATTATGATGGCTTCTGGTTGCAGTCAGCACTGACCATACAGTTCATTGGCTGCAGATATCAGAAAACACTCATCTTTATCTTTAGGTTTAGGTAGCGCAGAAAAATAAAAAATGCACATCTTGAAGGGAAGGTACATTGCAGCTGCTAGAAGTCCTGACACAGTGGGATTAATGCAATGCAGTTATTACAAAATGGCTGACAGTGGGATAACATGAACACTGAGGTTTCCAAAAGCTATTCTGGAAGCCTTTGTGGAAGAAGACAAATGGTGGTGAGATGTCCTATATTCTCAGGAACATATGCTTCAAAAGCAGTAACAGGAGATCAGGAGTTGCTAAGTCAGGAATTCAGTTTCAGGAACATGGTTGCAGCCCAGGGGAAAAACCTGTGGTCAAGACCTATGAATGCATCTTTAATGTCCTACCTACTGCAATTCTTAAACACTGCTTAGTACACCCAAATGTATATTCAATCCATCATATGCTATCACTTAGCTAGTAACCAAACATCTTTACCAATCCAGATTTCTGCCCAATATTTAGAACATCATCTTGTTCTCTCACTCTTAGCACTACCAAATGCGTCAAACATAGATCTGTTTGCACACACTTTTCAGCTACTCAATCATGACAAGTACATCACCTAAACACACTGCACCACAAACATCTATCTACACACTTCCCTCACTCTTTCAGGAGAAAGTGTCACACAACCGAAAACTGGGATCCAAGAGGGAAATATCATAACTAAATGTTTTCACCTCCATAGACTATTATAACAAAGGCCACTGCTGACCTCATTGTCACTGGCAGAGCTAAAGCTGTTGGAAGTGCCTAAATCCACATACCTAATCCTCATTCCGTCAGCCCATCTCTCTTGGCCCACAGTCTCTGCTGGCAGAGAAGCTGTTGAAAGTATAAGCATATGCACTGATTCTTCTCAAACCCCACTACAATCCCACCTTTGTGCACTTTTCCTTTCAGACACCTAAAAAAAGAATCAGCCCAGGCAGTGGAAGAATTGGCTGATCTCATAACCCTCATCCTCACTACTCTGCCTTTTCCCTATAAGCCTTGATTCCCTGACTGATTAAAAATCTGTCCACATTAGATTTGAAAATACCCCAATAACCCAGTTTGACTGTCCCCTATGGTAAATAATTCCATGGGCTAAGCACCATCTGAGAGAAAAAGATTCCTCTTGCTCTGTCTTAAATTGGCATCTTAGTCTGAAATTACACCTTTCCATTCTAGATTCTCCCACGGGGAAACAACATGTCCACAGTCAACCCCCAAGAATCTTCTGTGTTTCAATAGGGTCTGCTTTCATTCTTTTAAACACCAGTGAGTAAGGTGATGTCACCATAGTCCAATTGGACTGCCCTCCCATTACAAAGAGATGACTGGTGGTTGTTTAACCTGAGGATCACCTCGGGCAAAGGGCAAAGTCAAGAGGGCAAGAACTTCATGGTGACCTCAGCCAGAATAGGAATTGAATACATTGAATGCCATTCATATTACAGACCAGCTGTCCAGCCAACTGAGTTAAAGATACCCTGAGCTACAAGGTAAGGTTTTCTTTACCAAAGTGGATATTGGTGGGTTTTCACATTCGCATACAATTCCAATGTTTTAGTTACGTTATCATGGTCCTATTAAGCTACATTGGTATTTTCAGTAATCTGTGCATCTACAGGAAATGCACTCTGAAATTCTTTTGCAACTAAATATGTATTATATAAATAATAAATCATTCCAATTTTAAATTATACTTCTTTCATATCTAACAGCACAAATCCTGTTTTGTATCTCATGGTGCATGCATTCAATTATTTGGCTTATGAGCAGTTAAACAATAATTTTTCTGCTTAGCCAGACCTGTTTGAACAACAGTATTCTTTAACATGTACAGGATCCAAGAAAACAATTGGTCCACAATGCTTCTTAAGATTTTATTAGAATCAGAAGATTGACTAATTTTGAATGATACAAAATGAAACTTTGAATTGAAGTCTTCAACTGCTAGAATTGTAACAAAAGAGAGACTAGTGATAAATAAAGTAGGGGAATTATATTATTTCATTAGCTTAACAAAAGTATTTCGTGAAGAAACCAGCTCGTTAACTCTTATCAATAAGGACAAATCCATTAAATTTTCATTATGCGGAATTGGATTTTAACTCATGTATAATCGTACAATCCCTACAGTGTGGAAGCTGGCCATTTGGCCCTTCAAGTCCAACTGATCCTCTGAACAGAATCCCACTATCCATACCCTATTCCTGTAGTCCTGCATTTCCCATGGATAATCCACCTAACCTGCACATCCCTGAACACTATGGGCAATTTAGCATGGTTTATCCACCTAGTCCTTTACACTTCTGGACTGTGGGAAGAAACTGGAGCACCCAGAGGAAACCCATGCCGACATGGAGAGAATGTCCAAACTCCACACAGACAATCGCCCAAGGCTGGAATCAAACACAGGTCCCTAGCGATGTGAGGCATCAATGCTAATCTCTGACCCACCATGCCACCCATAACTCAACATATGGCTTGTCACTAGAAAGGGTAAGAGAAATGAATCAAAAGTGGAAGTTTGCAATGGCTATTAGGAATCATAAAGGCCTATGGAGGAGATGTTGTGATGATGTGGTGATGACCTTGCTTCTGAACCAGAAACTCTGAGTTTCACTCCGACTCCAGCATGTGACAGCCAAGAAAGGTGCCTCATGACACAGCCAAACAGGTTGAGTGTCAACTTGTAAATACTTACAACACATAGGAATGAAGAGATTCCTGTTCGGCCACATGATGGAAAGAAATGGGAGAGTCCACCATCACTATTAGTGGCTACAACGTACAAGTAAAAGTACATGTTGCCATAGTAATGCAGAATTCACAGGGAGCCAGGTGACCGGAGGGCTGGTGTGGGTCAGATTAGTGTCATTTTGATCCTCATTTTGGCTGGGGTGCTGTCTGCGATGTGTTTTTTGCTGCATTCATGATGGAGTTCATGGCTTTGTGCCTCAGTCCTGTCTTCAGGTAGAGAACTCAATAACACAAAGCAAGGCCAAAGGTACAAACTTCAGAACTGCAACGGTTCAGAATTCTTGTCCAAACCATTTGCAGAAGCGGTTGCAAATCTAATCTTTTAAATGCATCTTTTAAGTATTTTTGTGTATTGTATGCTTTATAAACCTAAGGCACTTTATCTAAATGTTCTGCAATGATTGGAATCTAGCCATAAATAAAACCATAATATAGTACTTAGACCTCTTAATAAAGCTGAAGGTGTAAATGTGACAAAACCTTCCTGATGTCTTTCAACACAATGAGAAAATCATGTGAGATGGCCAGAAAGGAGCTTCCCGATGTCAAGAGAAAAAAGTCCTATTTTCCAACCAACTGTTGAACAGCACGATGAGTTTTTGCTTTGCATTCAGAGGATGAGCACATCACTGCCTAGGCCAGCATTAATTGTCTGTATCTAGTTGCTCTTGAGAAGATAGTGGTGAGCTGCTGCCTTGAACCGCTGCAGTCCACATGCTTTAGGTGAATCCCCAGTGCTGTTAGGGAAGAAATTCCTGGATTTTTACCCAGTGACACTGAAGGAATGGTGGTATATTTCCAAGTCAGAATGGTATGTGACATGGAAGGAAATTTGCACGTGGTGACGTTCCCATGTACAAATGGGAACTCATCACAGAACATCAGTATGCACTTACAGCAAGTAATCAAGAAAGTAAACAGAATGCTACATTTTATTTAGAGGGCAATTGAATGCAAGATTAAGAGGTTATGCTTCAGTTATACAGGGCATTGCTGAGAAGTCATTT